GATGCCAAGCAACATGTGAAGAGCTATCCCGGGGAGTAGACAACAGGCTCACCCTGTGCGTTCTCAGAGGCAGACCGAGGGCCAGCAGGTGATAGTTGCCGGGTTTCTGTTTGGTGGATGAACTTTCTCAGAACCGGTGTGTGCAGCCGTCCAGGGAGGTGGTGAGATCCTCGTCACTGGCACGGAGCAAGCCGGCGGAATGACCTACTCACAAGGCGCGTCAAAAGAACACGGGCACGAGACCTACGTTCCTGCGGGCCCTGTGATTCTAGGCGCCTCTCTGACGAGACACCGCACCTCAGGGATCAGCTTTCACAAGCAGTAAGGCCCTGCTGAAAAGTCAAGGCTGCAGTGGACTGTTACGGAGTGAAGTGGAAGTGGGGAGAGAGGCTGTGCCATTTGTCACCTTTGATGCAAGTCCTGGATTTGTCGTGTCTCGTCTCTCTAATCGTTGAGACCGATCATGTGATCATCACAGAGCCCCCACCCCCCGCCACCCCACACACAAGCAGCTGGGGACCAGCAGGACCAGCACCCCTTGTCGGCCCTGAGGGCTACCTGGACTCAGCTTGTCTCCTTCAGAGCTGTCCTAGAAGAGCAACTGTCCCAAGGCACACAGCCAGGAAGTCGGCCCGCCTTTAACCAAAAGCCATGGCTTCGAAGTGGGGAGCAGTATGTTGCAAAAACTGCAAGCTCACTGTGAGTATCTAGGTTCAAATCTGTGACCCAGGCAAGTAAACAGACCTTTGCACTGCTAAGTTCTTCATCTGTGGCACTCACAGTTGCCGGGAAGATGGAATGAGAAGAAACACTGTCAGCACGTGCCTAGGCGGCAGCGGTGGTCACCCTCTCCCTGCTTGCTTTTCCTTCCTCCTCCAGTTTCCCAGACCCTTCGGCCCACGTTGATCTTCCAGCTGGGCAGTGGTCCCTGCCCCATCAGGCCTCCTGTGATCTGGATCTTTCTCCCTCCCCATGGGCAATTTATAAAGCACTGTTCACACACGCCATCGAACGCTCTGGGTCAGTTCCCGCTGTCAACCTCCCACCACCTTCTATCCCTCAGACACTCCAAGCCCCTCCGTGCCCTCAGGCCTCTGCACCTGCTGCGTCCTCTGCCCGGGATTCTGTCCCTAACCCCATTCTCCTGGTGGCTGCTCCTGCTCACTGTGGGGCCCCCTCCGCCCGTCCCACCCCCAAGAGGCCCTCCCTGGCCACCCCATCTAAAGCAGATCCCTCCCCACCACTCCTTGTCACATTGTCCTCTTTTAATTCTTTCAGAGCACCGATGGTGGTAATCTACAAATCCATTCCATTTGCAATCTCACTTAATCCCCCACCGTGACCCTTTATTTGTCTCAGAGAAGGAAACCGAGGCACAGAGCGTTCAAGCGGCTGGTGCAAAGCCGTGGCAGGACAGATCTGCAAACCTGAGACCTCCTGCAGGCCCACCGCCTCCTCTCTCCCTGCTCAGCTCCCACTCTCGTTACCCCAGGCTTGCGACAGACAGATCGTCTGAGACGCCGGATTACCTTTGAGTTTAAATGGAGCCAGGAATCTTAAAAATCTCTGAAAGCAAAAAAAAAAAAAAAGAGAGAGAGAACGACCTCTTCCGAGAGGCGCCCACCTGTAATTGGCACAGCCCAGCCGCATCTCCCTCCACCTGCAGCAGGGCAGACGTCCGTGCAAGTCTCAGGAAGGCAGTCCCCGCTTAACAAGGACACCATCCGGCCCTGGGCGGTTCCCGCCACTTTCAAAGCCGCAGCCCAGAGCCAGTTTTAATGATCACGGAAGGAACTTCTGAGAGAGTTGTAAGAGGAGGACGGGATAATTGCACTAGAAATACACGCCGCTGAGGACAATGGCCCGTCCGCCTGCGGCTCCTCGGGAGATGTAGCCTGGGAGGTCAGCTTCTCTGGCCCCGGCTCTGATCCCCTCCATCGACTGGGAGATAATTATCAAAGAAAGATAACATAACCCCTCCCCCACCGCCATCATCTCACCAACCTCTACCTCCCACCCTGATGAAGCTGCAGCAAAGAAGGAGTGCTAGTGACTGAGTTTAATGAAAATACCACGCTTAGGAGAGGGGGAAGCTCCACCATGCTCCTTACAAGCTGTGTGACCTTAAGCAAATTACTTAGCCTCTCTGGACCCATTTTCTCAGCTGGAGGAAAAATATCGAATGGTACCTACCGGATAGGCCACCTGCAATGTCAATGACAGTGGCTGACACAGGGTGAGTGTGCTGATGTTATCACTGCCAGCAGAATAGAGAGGTGGCATTTTGACCTGTGTTATTACGTATTTCTGGCCTTCAAAAAACCATTCGTGCCTGTGTGACAAAATGGCTAATACGTCAGTGTTGTTCCGGTGTTTTCTTTCTCTCGCCCCGCACCTGCCCTTCATCCTCCGCCTGGTTTTGTGTTTGTCTTCTCCCTGGCCCCACCCTCCAGGGAGACGTCTGTCTGTCTCCGCCAGAGTCCCTGCCGTGGAGCTGAGGGAAGGGATGTTTAGTGTTCGGACACTGCCGCAACCCTGAGGCCCTTAGTCACCCTCCACCTCTTTTCTCTATTGCAAGCTCCACGATGACGGGACTTGGTCTGTTTTGTTCACAGCCGTAGCCCGGCACCCACCGCCATCTCAGCACATCACAGACATTTGTTAGCACTGATGGCTATTTGTTGACTAGATGAGAGGAAGATGAACGAATCCTCAATACCAGTGGTCCTCACCCAGGAGTGATCTTGCCCCCTTCCCCCAGGCGATGTCTGGAAATATTACTGGACGTCACATCTGGAAGAAGGTGCTACTGGGCTCCAGTTGGCAGAGGCCAGGATGCTGCTAAGTGTCCTGCGACACACAGACCAGCCGTCCACAGCAAAGGCTCAGCCAGCCCCACGTGCCAGTAGCCCCGAGGGTGAGAAACGGCCGCACTCCCAGTCCCAGCAGCTCTACCTCCAACCCCTGTCCTGCAGCCATCCTGGGCCAACACACTGTCATTTCTCACTGGTCACCCTGCAACATCTTCCTATCAGACCTCCCTGCTTCCACTCGTCCTCTGAAATCCTCTCTCCACGGAACAGCCAAAGTAACATTTTAAAAATCAAGTCACTTTTTTATTCAAGACTGTTCCAAAAACCTGTGGCTTCCTCTTGCCGCTCAGAGAAAATCCTACCTCCTTACTGTATCTTGCAGAGCCCTAGGTCATCTCTGAATAGCTTCCCCTGGCTTCTCGGTCTGGACCCCGACTACTTACCTCCTCACTCACTCAGCTCCAAACTGCCATTCTGTTTCTCCAATATGGTGTTTCACAGAGTGTGGTCCATCAGCATCCCCTGAACCTAGTTAGACATGCCTTTGGCCAGCCCCATGCCAGACCTACTGGACAGAAACTCCTAAGGAAGGGCCAGCAATCTGTGCTTTAACAAGCCCTCCAGGTGATTCTGATGCATGCTTAAGGTACAGACTCAAGACCCAATGACATAACAGAGAGGCTCCTCCCTACCCCAGGACCTTTGCACCTGCTCTTCTCTTTGTCTAGATTATTCTTCTCCCAGATCTTCTGGTGATTAAATCCTTATTCAAGTCTCAATTGATACTTCCTCACACAAGCCTTGCCTGAACACTCTACCTAGAATAATCCTGTGAGCCAAGTAAATACCACATTACTTCATTCCAGGGGTTATTTTATTATATTGTAAGTTATTTATTTGCATTATTTTCTCCCTTCCCCACTACAACAAAAGCCTCACTGGAGAGCAGGGACTTTGTCTTATTCGTTGTGCTATCCCTAGTGCCCAGAACAGTGTCCAACAAAATATTTTTTTTTTTTGAGACAGAGTCTCACTTGTTGCCCAGGCTAGAGTGAGTGCCGTGGCATCAGCCTGGCTCACAGCAACCTCAAACTCCTGGGCTCAGCGATCCTCCTGCCTCAGCCTCCCGAGTAGCTGGGACTACAGGCATGCGCCACCATGCCCGGCTAATTTTTTTTTGTATATATATTTTTAGTTGGTCAATTTATTTCTATTTTTGGTAGAGATGGGGTCTCGCTCAGGCTGGTTTCGAACTCCTGACCTTGAGCAATCCGCCCGCCTCAGCCTCCCAAAGTGCTAGGATTACAGGCGTGAGCCACCGCGCCCGGCTCCAACAAAATATTTATTAAGCACGTGAATAAATGGAAAATCTGGTTAGTGGGAAGCAGAGGAGAAACTAAAAGAGAAACCAATGAGAGTGTCAATTTATATTATTTTGAGAAGTTGGGGCAGGGAAAAAAGAAAAAATACTCAAACTGAGATACTTGAGAATTTCAGTTCTGGAGGCTGGAAAGAGTGGGTAGTTGAGGAGGAGGAAAGGGGTTCGAGAAGTGTTCCTGTTGATGCTATGAGACATGCAAGTAGACACTCGGCTCCTACAGGGCTGCGGAACTGCACTGGGTCAAAGGTGACCTTACGCAGCGGTGATGTAGGTCCCTGGGACTGAAGAGATTTGCACATGAACTTCATGCACTTCTTCAACACACACAAAAGTCCCGCAAAAAACCAAGTGCAAAGATAAGACTTGCATAGAGTTAAACACGTGAAAAGACAGACAATGCTAATTTATATCCTCTGTATGAAGCATCTCCTTGGTGCTTTACATAAAGTATCTCATGTGATACCCACACAATCTCTATTAAGTATCCCCATTTTACAGGTGACAATAAAAATAATCTTATTTGTTGAGTATTTGGTGTCTTGGAAGCTCAGTGCTTTCTAAGAGTTCTCATTGAATTCTCACAACACTCGTAGGAGGTATTTACTATCCTGGTCCCCTTTGCGCAGATGAGAAAATCGAGCCTCAGAGAGCTGAAGTGATTTGCACAAGGTGATAGAGCACCTCTGCTCAAGTTAAAAAACAAACAAAATAATTGGGGATACTAGCTCTTTCCACTGCGCCACCATTCCCTTCCCACTGGGTGTTGTGCAGAGACCATTTTCAGCTTTGTATAAGGAAGTGCTTACCAAGCAGCGTGGCTGCCTTACAGAGCAGTGGGCCGTCGCTGGAGGTGGTGAGCTCTCTGTCGCTATGTGCATCCAAGAGGAGGTCAGATGATCACTTGCCTGGGAGGATGCGGTGATTTCTGTGAAGAGAGAGAAGGATAACAAACTGATGACTTCTAAGTTTCTGGAGGTAAGATCCATGATTCTATTCCTAGGGTCTGAGGATCATTATTCTCTCTAGACCTCATTTTCATTTCCTGGGACTACATGCCCATTCAGGTGCCTTGCAGATCTTGCACGCAAAGGTTCTCACTTTTAGGGCAGAAGTGTGGGCCAGGCGCGGTGGCTCACGCCTGTAATCCTAGCACTCTGGGAGGCTGAGGCAGGCGATTGCTCGAGGTCAGGAGTTCGAAACCAGCCTGAGCAAGAGCGAGACCCTGTCTCTATAATAAATAGAAAGAAATTAATTGACCAACTAATATATATAGAAAAAAATTAGCCGGGCATGGTGGTGCATGCCTGTAGTCCCAGCTACTCAGGAGGCTGAGGGCAGTAGGATTGCTTGAGCCCAGGAGTTTGAGGTTCCTGTGAGCTAGGCTGACGCCACGGCACTCGCTCTAGCCTGGGCAATAAAACGAGACTCTTTCTCAAAAAATAAAATAAAAATAAAAGGCAGACATGGAGACTGGGACACTGAGCACCGGCCAGGATTTGGGCCTCCCTCAGTGAGGGTCCTGTTTGGCCGATGGAGCTTTGGGAGCTTTGAAACTTTGCGTTCGTTCCAATTTTGCCTCCAGCTGGCCACAAACAAGCCTGTACTGTGGAAAATTCCAGGCAGCAAAACACTGGTTTGATGACAAAGTCTTTTGGAGCCATTCCCATAGCCGGCTTGGGAACCTGTACTTCCCCACACCCCACCTCCATCCCCACCCACCCCGCCAAAAAAAACCCTTCGTTTTATTAGAATTCCAATTATGCTCCAGTGATTTTGAATCCCCAGAATTCCTTTATCCCAGAGCAAGAGTAATTGGATTTTTCTCCTTCTAAGCCTCAGCCGCCCCTCCACTTCATCAGCATGCTGGGCTCTGGGCCCACCCGGCCCCGGGAAGAAATTGAAAAGATGCCATGCAGCTTTATGAAATCATATATAAGATCTTTAAGGATGCTTTCTGCAGTGGAGGGGGAGTTTTTATTTTTCGATAAATCACTTCCAGTCTTCAGATAACAATTTTATAGTCTGTTAAGGTCCTAAGGTAGAATTTATGATTCTGGGGAATTGCTCCTTCTTCCTCGTGTGGCCCTTTCTTTTGCTTTTCACCATCCTGCCCCTTTCTTGGAGGATCTGGGAGAGGGGGCAGGCGGGGAGGGAGCTGACTGATTACCACCTAAGGCATACAGTTCCTCCACGCACACTGCTCTCGTATCTTCAAAACACTTTAACATCCACCGGATACCTTCATCCTCTGCATGAGGCTGGAAATAGGCTGAGCAGATATTGTTAGTCCCATTTCCCAGGTGAGAAACCTGAGGCAGGATCCAAACTCACTTCTGATTCCAAGTCAAGTTCTTTCCAACACACCATGATGCTCCCCTGATTGCTATATGGCCTTATGTCCATTCCTCAGCTCAGAAGTAACCCAGGTCAGAAGGACTGAGCTTCTCAAATTATAGCCCAAGAATTAAAAGAGAATTGTCTTGTGGCGAAAAGGGAAAACTTCTGTCCTCCTTCCCAATCCGACAACCACCAGCAGATTTAGGTGGTAAACCTATTAGCCAAGTACTCACAATTCCCTTTAATCCGCCTTACACAACACTGCCGGAGTTATTTCCCCCAAGGTTGAGGATGACTGGGTCTCTTTATTGCTCAAAAATCTTCGATCTCTCTTTTGCCTAAAGGGAAAAATTACAGAGTTGGAAACTTGGAGACCATCTAATCCAATACTCTAAACTATGCAATGATGTGCTCTACCACACTGCTGTCCCTCTAGCCTCTGCATGAATAACTCCATGATAGAGACCTCATTACTCTTTTTTATTTCATTCATCCTTTCATTCACTTACCTTCTTTTATCTGAACAATAGATATTTACCGGACAGGCATGATGTTAAGCCTGGGAATACAATCCTGAATATCATATACTTGAACAGTAGTAGCTAAAAGAAAGTCTTGAAATCAGACTGCCTAAGTTCAAGTTCCAGCTCCATCACCCGGTTGCTGCATCCTCTTAGGTAAGGACTGAACCTCTCTTAGGCTCAATTTCCCCATATGGAAAGTAGGAATAAGAACACCATCACATTGGTATTATAAGTATCGAATACGCAGGAGCCAGTGATATGGATAAGTAAACAGGCATCTACAGTACAATGAAGTGTGTGTACAGAATGCTGTGGGAGCATCTGATCCATTTGGGGTGGTAGTCAGGGAAGGTTTCATGGAGACTGTGACCTCTAAGTGAGACAGTATCGCCACACAGGAGTTGTCTAAGCTAAGAGGGAGAAAACTAATAAGAAGAAATGGAACTGCAGACATTGTCCTGAAATAAAGAGAAAGCACAGAGTGTTCGAAGAATTATGGGAGTTCAGCATAGCTCAGAAAGATCGATTTTGGGAAAAATCCTGTCTGTCTGAACTCCCAGTACTTAAAGACTTCTGCAACTTTGCTCAAAGTTACTTTTGCATATTTCTGTCTTAATGGGGTCCATATCCAGGCTCTGCTTACGTTTTTCCCCTCCAAGGAGGATTTCCCACAGTGGGCACATGGGGCTCTCATTTTCTCAGGACCCTTTCATGCCATCTTTTGGTAACAGAATCCTTCTTGGTTATGAGGGATTCCATGTGATTCAGGTGAGCTCACCTGATCTGACCCCAACTCCAGGCTATGTCCCCCAGAGAATAACCCATTCCTTGGCAGGTAATGATGGGTTCAGGGATGGGCACGTACCCCACGTTGAGCCTGTCATCGAAGTGCTCCCTTCACTTTTCCATTGCAGCTGCCATTCTCTTGGTGTTGCTCAGCTGGGAAAACATGAGTTTGGGGCTGCCAAACCATCTTTCCTGCCCCACAAAGGAGTCCTTCTAAGGAAGAATGCCAAGCCAGGGAAAGCAGAGCCACCAAATGGCCATGAGAGACAGAGGCAAAATAATATCATCCAAGCCCCCGGATGGAGACCTGCCCAGAACAGTTGCCTTCCCGGATTTCTCAATTATGTGAGAGAATAAATTCTCTCTCTCATTTTTGTTATTTTTCTTAAACTGCTTTGAATTAGGTTTTGTCACTTCAAACCAAAGAGAGTTCAGACTAATTCACCTCTGGCCTCTTTATCACTTGTTATGATTTAGTGAATTTTCCAACTCTTTCATGATCATCTCAGCCAGAGGCAAAGCCCTTCCCCACCTCATTCTTCTCCCTCATGGACACTCAGGTCCACAGTAGCCAAATGGCATTTGTCATGTCCTACCTTGCATGTTAGAATTTGGAACCTACGTCTTATCTAGCATCTGAGACAAAGACATCTTATAGGTGGGTAGCCCTGTATCCCCTACGATGAGTAGCTGCTCAATCAATGTTTGTGGAATAAAAGAAAAGGAATATGAAAGAAGAGCATCAGACAGGAGGATTCAATCCCCAGTTCTAATATTTCTCAAATGAAGCTCCTTGGAAAGCCACTTATCTCTCCTAAACTCAGTTTCTACACTGCTGTACTTCATCTGTAAAATAGGGATAATATTTATTAAAGTCATTGCAGGACAGAATAAGAGAACAAATGCCAAACGCTTTGCAAAATGAGAGAGAGAGAGACCTAGCTAAAAATCTAAAGCTTCAGTCCCTCACACTGGTCAAGGGGTAGGAAGTCCTGGATTTCTGAGTTCAAGACATCTCTGAGAGTAGCAATCCATGTGACAAGTTGGTGGCCCTCTCTGGACCCGAGTCTACTTATTTATATGATGAAGGCAGGAGGAGAGCATTGGGGGAGTTTTAGGAACATTCTATGATTCTGTGATAGCATCATTCCTAATAGCTTAGCACTTGGCATCTTGGTACCTCCCCCATGCCGTTGGAGGCAAGACGTCAGCCTAGGAATCTTAAGATGGGCAGGGTCCCCCTTCTGTCACCCTGTCATCGCTTCCCATCAGTGTAATCTTTCATTACGAGCTTAAATTTGGCAGGCATCATGCTCACTAATTAGCATCCATTATCTCACTTAGTCTTACAAATAACTCTATAAAGTAGCCTCTATTATCCTCTTTCTAAAAAACAGAGAAATTGAGGCACAGAAACAATAAGTAACTTGCCTAAGCCCCACAGCTAATAAGTGGTAATGTCATTCAGATTTGGGTGGCCTGCTTCCAAAGCCTGTGCTCTTAGCCACTAAACTGCCCCGCCTCCCTAAGATTCCCACCGTATCGTTGACAACCGCTGGGGAAGGGAGACCTGTGTGTGCTCCAGGTGGCCTGCGCGGTCCCGATCATGCTAACAGTCCAGGGTGCTGGGGGCCTGTGTGGAGCGGGAATGCCATGCTGCTAATGGAAGAAAATGTAATTATAGAGCATAATTATAGTGTATCGTATTCTGTAATTACACTGATGTATTTAATATAGAGCATACTCTGAAGCTAAATGGAATGGAAACACCCCCAAAACAGAACAGAGTCAGAGCTGCTAAGAACCTGTTCCCTCAGTGATGTAGGATCACAGGACCTCTGTACAGTCATGTGGCCCTTAACGGCAGGGAAATGTCTGAGAAATGCATCGTTAGAGATTTCATCGTTGTGCGAACAACACAGAGCGCACTTACACAAGCGTAGGTGGTACAGCCCACTACATACCTAGGCTCCGTGGTGTAGCCTACTGCTCCTAGGCCACAGGCCTGTGCGGCATGCTACTGTACTGCACACTGTAGGCAAGGGTAACACAGTGGTATTTGTGTATCTAAACATATCAACACATAGAAAAGGTGCAGTAAACATACAGTATCTTATGGGACCACTGTCATATATGTGTTCCATCACTGGCCAAAACGTCCTGATGCAGCACATGACTATATTACATCCCCATGTTAGTGGAAATTACCATCATCCACCCAATGGTCCAGTCCCCAAACTGGGTGCTTGTTCGCCCTTTTGTCTACACCCCATAGGCCTTACCTCCCAAGTCCATCCTGTCCTCTTCAGCTCCACTGCTGGTTTCCTCCTTCAGAACCTGACATCTCCACCCTACACTATTTTTTTTTACCACTTTCCTATTGGTCTTTTTGCTTCCAGAGATGCCCTGTGTGTCATCCTCGACACTGTAGGCTGGGAGTTATTCCAGAATACAAATCTGACCATGTCACTTCCTTGCCTAAATCTTTCCAGTGGTTGCACATTGCTGAGTGCAGGCACCTTTGCTCAGCACTCTCAAGGCTCCAGTCCTGACACCTTTGCACCCTGCCACCCAGTGCTCCAGCTATTCTGGACTATTCATGAGGATTCTGTTATCTTCTGTTTCCCCCCATGTTTGCGCATGTTATTCTCTGCCTCAATACCTTCTTTGCACATCTTCACCTAACTCATACCCGTCCTGCAGCAGCAGCTCATGTGCCATCAGCCTCTAAAAGATTTCTCTGCCCCACAAACTGGGTTAGGTACCACTGATCCACTGATACATGATTCTGCAGCATCTTCTAGCAGAAAACTCACCCCACTGTGTGTTAATTGTCTATTTACTTCATAATCTCTTCATCTAGACTGGGGCACCTTGAAGGCAAGGACTGTGTTTTGTTTTTGTTTTTATTTCTATTACTATATTCCCCAATGCCTAGAATAATGCCAGACATAGAGTAATTGTTCTGTTTCTCAAATGAATGAAAAACATATTCAAACAATCACATGTAAGAAATAATATTTTATTTCTATGAGTAGGTATAATAGGAAACACAGAATTATAGAAGGTCAAAGATTGAGAAGCCTTTTACACCTTCCTTTAATTATAAAGATGAGAAAAAAAGAGGACTAGAGAAGTGAAAAAACTTACCCCCTTGTGGGAGCTTCCTTTCAGCAGAAAGGCAGTGTGCCTACGTCTTTACCAGCTCAGCTTGCAGCCCCGTGTTTAGGAAAACTTAGGGGCCCCTGGATCTTAGCATCTCTTCTAACCTTCCCATAAGTTCCCTGCATTTACAGTAACATACATCTGGGGTCAAATCCTATCTGTGCAACTTAAGAAGTATGAAACCATAAAGCTCTCTAAGCTTCTCTTGGCTTCCATTTCTTCATTGATAAAATGAAACTAATATTATTTATCTCACAAGATCGGAAAGTACTACATGAAATATTTTATGTGAAAGTTCTTGGTAAACTAAAAAAATATGTGAATTTAAGCTAAGATCATCATCCTCATTGTCACCATTATTGCCCTATGACATTTTCATGAGAATCATGAAAACCATGCTCTCATAACAAATAACAAATAAACTCTCATTTCAGTGTGAAGTACACGGCATTGGAAATCAGGAAGCCTGGATTCTATTCCCAACTCTGCCCTGTTACTATCAGTTTCCTCTCTCATCCCTTCTCTACTCCTTTTCCATTGGCAGGAACTACATTTCCCAGCCTCCTTTGCCTGGTGGCTTCCCAAGAGGTGTAGCCATTTGGATGCCCTACTGATGACTAGGGGGTGGGAGTAGGGGAGAGGCCAGGGTATTTCTCCTCTAGCTCTACCTCAGGTGCTGTCTCTTACAGCTACTGTGTCTCAGGTGCTGTCTCTTGCAACTGCTATCTGGTAGCCACAGTGAATCAGGTGCTGTCTCTTGCAGCTGCTGCAGTTCAAGTGCTATATCTTGTAACCAAGCCATATCCACCATAGCTCCGGATCTTGCTGGGTTCTGAGAGCTCTAAAATTCCCAGAATCCTAAG